ACTCGGAGACTGTGGGCGAGAAGTCGCCCACGCCGTTCGCCTTCGAGGGCGTGCTCTGCGGGTGCGGAAGGGAGCGCCGTTGCAGGCGGTGTGCCGCCAGGTCGCCCGAGCTGCGCGCCTCGCGCCGCGCGCGCGCTGCCACCTTCGCACCCTCGCGCCGAGCCGGCCCCCCCCGGCCCACCCCTGCAACAATCGGGGATCTTCTGACCTGGGTCAATCCAGACCCGTGTCAGCAAGAAACATAAAAACTGCAATGCAGGAACAAAAAAGAGCTACAACGCAGATCTTCGCAAACCCGGGTCAGCCAATATGCGCGGCCGCCTTGCGGCCACGCGCGGCTCGCTAACCCGGGTCAGCCAGACGGGGTCTTCGCAGGATCCTGCAGGATCCGGTGGCCGACCCCCGTTTGCATTGACCCCCGTCTCTTGAGCCCCGAAACAAGGCGTCCCGACAGCCCAGCCCGATGAGAAAGCCTTGTGCCTGTGCGCCTGCGGGCTCGGGAGTCCTGCGTGCCCCTGTTTGCTCTCTTCGGGTGGGTGCTGTCCTGCGTGGCCGTGCCTCCCTGCTTCGTGCGCGTGCGCCCGTGGATTGCCTGGGCTGCTGACCGGTCTGGCCCAGCAATATCCGACGGCAGCCAGAGCCTACATGCATACATACTATCGGAGGCCTGGAAATGGGCACCAACACCAACACAGGGGTTTGCCTCCACATGGGGAAGATGATCCTAAATTTCGATGTTGGCGGTAATATTTCGATCTCCTTGGAAGCCAGAATATTACCACCATCACCGAGATCGGGATCTTATTCCCTCGGTGGAGGCACACTGCCGATATTAGTGTTGGTGTCAATCTCTAAGCCTGCGATACTTTACGTTTTTTTCACGGCGCATCGGCTGTCATTGCGCCACAGAGTGAGCTCGGGGTCGCGTGCGCCTCCGCCTGCTGGGGAACGGGTCCATGCCAGGAGGCGTGCCCAGTGGAGAGAGACAGAGAGAGAGAGAGATCCTCCTCCTCCTCCTCCTCCTCCTCCTCCTCCTCCTCCTCCTCCTCCTCCTCCTGCCCCTCCCCCTCCCCCCCCCTCCCCCTCCTCCTCCTCCTCCTCCTCCTCCTCGTCCTCCTCCTCCTCCTCCTCCTCCTCCTCCTCCTCCTCCTCCGAGAGAGAGAGAGAGAGAGAGAAGGCGGCGACAGTGTTCTGGCAAGCCCATATGGCCCAGCTGGCTAAGTGCGCCAAATCTGCACAACGGGAACAGGGAGGAAAAGGGAGGGGAAGACGGAGAGGGAAACAGGGACAGAGAGAGAGAGGGGGGCGGATACCGAGGAGAGAGAGCTGTCCACAGGAAGTCGTGGCAGTCTCGGTCGCAGCCGAGGGTCGCGCATTGAAAGCAAAAGCGGCGAGTCGCCCCGGAAAGGAGGAAGCATGAAGGAGGAGGATGAGGATGCGCCAAGGAGGACACGACATGAAGAGTGGACGACTTCTGGCGCGTGCCCAGCCGAACGCGTTGATACACTCGTGGCATGTCGAGAATGGTACCGTCGCGTCCCCTGGCGCGTCGCTCCACGGTACAATGCTATGGCTGTCTGGCCGGTATTCGTCAAATGTTTCACGGACAATTTCCTCCTCGTCGCGCCTAACTGCTGGCACCCTGCTGACATTGCACCCAGCGCCCTGGACCTATTCCCAATGAGCCGGCAAACAAGCTCCTAAGACAGCCAAAATGGCCAAAGAGGAACAACGAAGGTTCCAAGACGGCTCAAAAACCATCCCAGGCGACCTAAGAAAGCCCGAGAGCCACAGAGGCGTCCAAAGAGGCTCAATGAGGACCCAAGACGCCTTCCAGAAGTCTCCAGGAGCCTTTGAGAGGCGATGCCGTCCCAAAATGCTCCCAGGACGATCTGCGACTGGCACAAGGCGACCCCGAGACGCCCGCCAAAACGGGCTCCGGACGCTTCGCAGTGCCCCCCTGCATGCACTGGCACAGGTGGGCACCTGGCAAGCCCACAAGAGCTCTCTCAAGGATCGCTCCTGCAGGCAGCCGCAAGGCCGGACACCCCGGAGGCCCCCCACGGCACCCCGCGAGGCCACCTGTCCAACTGCCTCCCTGGACAAGCCATAGAAGTACCCTTAACCCTTTGAGAGGGGACATGAGTTAGGAGTGCCAGAAACATTTGGAATAGGAGGTCTTTCTTGCAGACGTATCAAGCCAGACCGCCCAGATGTATGATCCCGAATTCGAAGACGGGGACCGAAGTGAGCCCACGTCTTCATCGTGCTATTAGGGTTAGGGGGCCTTTGGTTTTCGATGACCCCTTTCACTCTCCACATCACCATGCCTTTCTACGCCTCCATACTAGTCTCCTCACCCGCCCATTCTGCGGCTCTGAGGGCCCCCGTCCTCTGAGGCTGTGGTATGTTACGGTTTTGTCCGAACTGGGGTCGCGACGTGTCATATCTTGCGGCCCTCCGCAGCGTCGGAAGTGGAATCGTGCATGTGCGCACAAAAAAAGACCTGCTCCGATGGGCATGTTCAGATTGCACTAGAGTGCAGGGGCTCAAGACCGCCTGCAAGACCATTCGAGTATTGGCTGGGAGACATGCACGGTTGACCGCGAAACTAATTGTGATATTCACGCTTGACCGCAACCGAATTACCGAGCAGCGAAATCTGTATCGGGTAAATCCTCTTGTGCGCGTGACTCGCGCAAGACAGCAGACCTAGACTATAAGAATGGCGACTTGCACACCAGCTTGAGAACTCCAAGCCAGGATGGTGCAGAGTGAGATCTCGGATGGTAGAACTATCCAGTGCTCGGCCTACTTGGCGGGGACCCTGAACCGAAAAATGTTCCCATCTGAGCATCGTTTATCCGATCCCCATCCCCAGCGGCGTGGCCTGGGCCCCACTAGCCGATGTACCCCCCTAGATGGGGATATAGGCCGAATCCCGAAGGTTTCGAAGGGTGTATCCCCAACTGGGGGGGTAATTTGGTGGAGGTCTCGAAAGGGATGGGGATGGGGATGGGGGTCGGTTAAACGATTCTGACCATCTCTTTGGGGCGCATCTTTTACCTCCGCTGGCTGCCGCCCGCCCTGCGGTAGCTTACGCTGGCGGGGCAGCCCTCGTTTTGCTTCGGCTGGCCTTCCACCGCCTTCCGCCGAGGAGGAGATCTTCGAGGCCACTTGGAGAACTGGCGGCTGAACGTCGTTACGTCGAGAGCTGGCGGCGCTGCTCGTCGGACGCCCAAAACTTGATCCACAAGACCTCCAGACACACCAAGCAATTATGTTTGCTCGATCGATCTCCGCCCACGAATGCAAGGCGGGACGCCGAGGCGCATCGGCACACTCACTGTGGGCATGGCGGCCGCAGTCTGCAGCGTTTTTTCGTTGGAAGCACGAGGCGGGGCACCCAGGGAGCACCAGCACTCCTTGGGCCTGGCGGCCGCGGTATGCAAGGTGTGCGAGGCGGGTCGGGAGCTCTGTTCTTGAGATCCAGCAGGCCCACCCCGTCGGGCGGGGAACCCGCCGGCTCACCTGAGGGGCAACGAGCTGCGTGGCCTGGGCTGTCCAGTTTCCTGCGCCAGCAGATCCAGTTCACAAATTAGTCCACCGATGTAACGATTGTGCACGTCGTTCATTTCTAGTCGTGCTCATTTCTAAGTGTGCTCGATCCTAATTGTTCCTGGCCCCCTAGTGGCAAGGAAGAGGCCCAGGATAGAATAATTAGAAATGAAAGGATCTTGGCACCCCTAAGAAATCAAAGAACTGTCGAAGAAATAAAGATGAACAATGTGTAGCCTAAATCACGTAATCCGAATTCCTTGGGGTGCCTGGGGACATGTAAGAATACATCGGGTTCGCGCTCCTGAGGCCACAGGCCTTCTTTTGAATTGCACCAGACGTTCGCTCCCAATCAACCATCCCTTGTCAAATACGCCAGATTAACACTTCCGAGGCCACAACACCCCATACGTTACGAGGAGGTCCAGCGTCGATCCGAGAAAACCAAGCGGACCTTCCAACGTTTATCTTAGGTAGTTGATTGCTCTTCGCGCGAACCTGGCCCTGGATTCCGAGCGCATCCCAGCGCCGAAGGCGACCAGGTGTCAAGAGAAATACCCAGCGGCAAGCCGGAACTAGCTGGATGTAGCAGTATTCGTAATCCCTCTATCCCAAATCTACCCTTCGTCCGCCCTGAGGTGGTGGATCGCGGGAGGGGGACTAGAGACACATCAGATTATGATTGCATTCCCTTCGACCGATCCAACGAATAGTGCGACGCGGGAGCGCCACCATCGTGCCACTCAGCAGTAGTGGAACGCCACGCGATGCAGTGAGAAAAACAGCACGCGTGGAAAAGCTGACACAAACGGTGGGTTCTGGAAACCCTGAATTCCGAAAAGTTGGCATCTCTTCGGGACGCACCTCTTGAGGAAGCGTCCAGCGGCTCCGCCGAGGAAAAGATGACGACTTCTCGGTCCCTTGAAGGGGAGGCAGTTTGAAAACTGCAAGTGCTGGGGAACACAGGGTACCGCTGCCGCTGCTTCCTAGACCTTTCCCGGCACGCCATCTGGCCAGCATCTCGCGGCGAGTCCAGGCGCGGCGACGAGGGAAGGGCAGCGGGGTATCGGTACCTCTTCTTCCTCTAAGCTACATGCGCAAGTGCTGCCTATGAGTATCGTTTAACCGGTCCCCCTCCCCAGCGGCGTGGCCTGGGCCCCACTGGCCGATTGACCCCCCCAAATGGGATATGGGCCGTTCCCTCCGGGTTTCGAAGGGTACATCCGCAACTGGGGTGGTAATTTGGTAGGGTCTCGAAGGGGATGGGGATGGGGATGGGGAGTGGTGAAACGATGCTGAGCCTAGACGCCTAGACGGCCACGAGCGTGGAGGACAAACTCAGCCGCGGGATCTTCGGCGGGGTGCGGCGCCTCTTGAGCGCGTGTCCTGCCGGGCGGCGCCTGCCCCGCTCGGGCAGGCTGGCGCCGGGCCACGCGTCGAGGTCACAGGCGCACCAGCCCCACAGCCTGCTGCTGCTGCTGCTGCAGAGGAAGACAAATCGGCGTCGAACATGCAGTCAACCAGGATAATAGATAAGGATGCGCGGTAAGGATGCAAGGGCCTTGGAACGCCATGTTGAGGTTTTCCGCGCGGAGCGCGGCCAGCGAGAGTTGGCAAGGATGCGCCGAAGGGGCAAGGATGCAAGGGTACCCTGGCCAAGTTGCCCAATCCTTACTATCATGGTTGACTGTACCAAAAAATTGGAACCAGACATGGCCGGATTCACATTTGGAGCATGCGGAAACCGCGCATTGGGCACACATCCGGGATTCCGGACGTCACGGCCATGGGAGGGGCGAGCGCTGAAGCAGAGGGCATTTCGCGGTCAGTGCGATCGTGCCGCCGCATGTTGATACTCCGGAGTTCCTCGCGGATTCCTTGGATCGGCGCTGGGTTTGCCCTCCGTCGCGCGGAGCCCCCAAGTGGCGGCGCCGAAGGCGCCGCCAGGGGGTCCAGCGCCGATCCAAAGAAGTCTGCGCGATCCTTCTGAAATTCATGGTTGTGCCGATTGTTCTTCTTCGATGGTGGCCATCCACGGCACCACTTCCGTCACCTCGCTGCCTCTCGGGGTGCGCCGCGGGCTCGGGCGGACAAGCCAGGGTGAACCCTCACAGCCCGCGTCCGACTCGCCTGGGAAGACCAGAAGGTGCCGATACCGCTACTCCCCGGACCTCTCCTGGGGTGCAGTTTCGAGGCGAATCCACCGGTGGCGACGAGGGCCTCCCAAGAGGCCCAACACGGCGAACACGAGGCAAGGATAGCGGTATGGGTACGTGTTCCTCCTCCGACTGGCAAGACGTGTGTCCACATCCACTGCAGCTTGGAGTTTCGGGCTCCGTTTCCCAGAAACCCGAGGCGCAGCGGATAGGGATAAAAATCTTACCACTAGAGGCTCAATTTATTCATATATCTATGTATGCATATACCTCGGCCTTGCGGTGCCGCTTTCCTAGAAAGTCCAGGAAGCACTGGATACGTGCATTAATGCTCCCCGCATCGCCGTCGCTGGAATCGGAGTCGGGCGGGCAAACATCGACGACAGCAGCCGCCTTGCCCCCGCTGCAACCCATGGCCAGCCGCGTGGGGAGATGGCTGGCGCGCACCAGGCGGTGGCGCCGAGGGGGGCGGCCGTCTGTCTAAGCTTCTCAGCAGGCAGGGGGGCCTCCCGACAAGGCCCCAGAGGGTCCGAGAAGGCCTCTTGGAAGACGAGGCCCAGACCCCCTCGAGTCACGAAAAAAACACGAGCGGTTTTTCCCTGTGTTCGGCATCTGGGGGCCCTCGCCTGGCCTCGGGACCGTCAAAAAACGACTCAGGATGACCAGTCCTGGGGATTGGGTCGAGATCTCTGATCTCTGGGAGTCGACGTTCTGAAAACCCTATCCTCAGGGGCCTGGCCTGGGCCCCACTGGCCAATCTATCCCCCTTGATGGGCATCCAGCCTGTTTCCTTCCTTCGGGTTTCGAAGGGTACATCCGCAACTGTCGGGGAGACGTAAGACCCGGGTACGGGGGACTCGGAAATCCCCGACGAGGTCGTCAAAAAAATGACGAGGCCGAGCCTGCATTTTGACGAGGCCTCCCGCTGCAGACATCCCACAAAACTCCTCCTCGTCAAAATCTGAGTCGCGGTCGTCAAAAAACGATGGCGAACCCGAGTCCTGGCAAACCCGGGTCTTACGCTCCCCCGAAACTGGGGTGCTGAGACGGTGGGGTCTGGATGGAGATGGGGATGCGAACAGGCCTCTAGGAAGCTCTGAAAAAGGTCTCTTGGACGCCGAGAGAGGGCACCTCAGCAGCCTCCTCCCATACACCCTCTTGGGAAGTCCAGCGGCTACCCAGACCGCTGCTCCCCGGACCTCTTCCGGGGCGTGCTCTGACCAGGATCTCGAGGAGGATCCAGCTGTGGCGAGAAGGGCGCTGAAGGCAGAGCAGCGGAATCAGTATCTTTTCCTCATCTGTGATGGGCCTGTTTTGCACCAGCACCACCATAAGTTGGAGGGGGGAAGGAGGTGGAGGAGGAGGAGGACCTCCTCCCCCTCCAACTTGTGGTGGTGGTGGTAGTGGAAAACAGGCCCATCAATCTGAGCGACGAATTGAAGCGGGCTTTAGGCAAGATGGCACGGCGACCTTACGCCCCGGCTTGGTCGGGCCGCCAGCGTGGCCCGCCGCGTGGAAAAGGGGGCACTGACGCGCGACCTTACGCGGGCAGCTCACGCGCGAATGTCCGCGCAGTCGAGACTGGGGGAACTTAAACGGGGGGGATAGCAAAAGGTAGGGTAGATAATCATCTCACGTAGCGGATTTTCCCAGCGCCTCCCGGCGCCGGGAGGCGCCCATGTATCGAGGAATGGGCCCGGCGGCGGGGCCGAGACCAGCTGCATGCAGCAGATTTCGTAACCCCCCCTTTCCCTAACCCCCCCTTTCGTTCGGCCCAAGAACCGTTCCCAGACATCGGGCTTCACGGTTTGCTCGAGACACGAACCCCCTGACCTCTCCACCACTTCTCTGAACCGGCGTTTCACTCCGAGCCGTTTTGTTGACGGCCGACAACAATGAGAAACCCCGTCTCGATGTTTCGAGGCGCCCTCTGCATCGCTCTTCTGGCTTCTCCGCAGGCCGCCCCGCTCGCGCCGCCCCCCCCCCGCGCGCGCGACGCCGGGGAGAGCCCTGCGCGGGCTGGGGGTCTCCAGAGGCAGGTGGGCCGTCCTGCTCTGGGCCGTGGCGGCTCGATCCAGAGTTGCGGGGGAGCGTCGAACAGGCGAGATGCACATACATACATACATACATACATACATACATACATACATACATACATACATACATACATACATGCATGCATGCATGCATGCATGCATGCATGCATGCATGCATGTATGCATACGTATATACAGATAGACATGCAGGCATACATACATACGAACATACGTACATGCATACATACATACATACATACATACATTCATACATACATGCATACATACATACATACATACATATATACATACATACATACATACATACATGCATACATACATACATGCATGCATGCATGCATGCATACATACATACATACAACCATACATACATATATACATGCATGTATGCATACATACATGCACACATGCACGCATACATACATACATCCATACATATCCACATACATACATACATCCATACACATATACATACATACATACATACATACACACATACATACATGCATACATACATACATACATACATACATACATGCATGCATGCATGCATACATACATACACACACTCATACATACACCTATACATACACACATATACGTGTCAACATACATACATGCATACATACATAAAAACATACATACATACATACATACATACACACACATACATACATACATACATACATACATACATACATACATACATACATACATACATACGTACATTCATACATTCATACAGACATGCAGACATACACACATAGCATACAGACATGCGCACATACATGCATACATACATACATACATGCACACGTACAGTCATGCTTACGTACATGCATACATTCATGTGCATAAGCGTGTACGTTCATACATACACAGCATGCACACATACATACATGGGTGCATACACATACATGCATACATACATACATACATCCATATATATATACATACACATGTGCATACATGCACGCGTGCAATCATACATGCATACGTACAGACATACGTATACGCACTCGCGTTCATACACATCCATACACATAAACATACATCCACACATGAACCTATACATGTTCGAATCCATGTATATATATACATACATATAGATATAGTCATACAAACATACACACATGCATACAGACATGGATCCACACATCCATACGTACAGACATACACAGGTACATACATACACACACAGATACGTACGTACATACAGGCACACATACCACGCCCTTAACGCGGATCGTGCCCCGCACCTGAAGCCATTTTGCGGCACCAGCGGGGAGCTTCATAGCGTCGCCCCGCTCACTTCGGCACACCTCTCACAATGATCGTGGCCCGCAAGGAGTTCCACCGACGGCCCCAGAGACAAGGTTCGCATCCCGCCCTCCCGTCTACGTCGGCACACCTCTCACACAGATCGTGGCCCACAGGGATCTCAATCCACGGCCCCGGAGGCAAAGTTGGCACTGCGCCCCCCGCCCCTCCCGGCCATTGTGGCACACCCCATCATGCGGATCGTGCCCACAAGGAGCACCACCCAAAGGCCCAGAGACAAGGCTCGTACAACGCGCCCCCCGCCCATGTCGGCACACCTGTCACGCGAATCATGCGTCAGAAAGAGCTCAACCTATAGCACCGATGGGCAGCTTCACATGGCGTCCCCGCGCCCACTTCGGAACATGCCTCGCACGGGGCGTGCCTGGAGGAGGTCCACCTGCGGCCTCAGTGGGCGTGTTCGCGCCGCCCTTCACGCGGATCGTGCCCCACAACAAAGAGTTCAGCGCACCACTGCATGCGTGCCCCGCGGCAGCCATCTTTCCGCATTGCCCCACGGCGCGCAGTGTAAGAGAGACCTGTACCCTGCACTACACATGACTGCGTAGCGATGGGTCCGCCGCCAAACCATTGCTTGCTCTATCTATGGCCTTCGGCCTGTGCCTCTGCTGTACTGAGATTTGGGCCAGAGGATGCTTGGAGACCTGTAGTGCGGGGCCTCTTGGCATGCCTTTCGAACGCCTCGTGGGACGAAGTTTGAAACTTCCTGTGGCCTCATGTTGGCCGTGCCAAAACTCTTGAGGTCTCTTCTGGGGCACCTGGGGCCTCTTGGGCCCCTGCTCCGGCCTCGGGGGCCAGCTCGTGGCGGAGGGCTCGAAATGTCAGTTGGAATTCTCCTTCCGGGGCTTCTCTTCTAGGGCTCCCAACTTCGCGCTTCGCGCTCCGCGAAGCGCGAATAACTTCGCGCCCTCGCGCCGCCCCCCCAAAGGGAGAAAAGGAGGACGAGGAGGAGGGGGAGAAGGAACGAGGACCGCGAAGCGCGAATAACTTCGCGCCCTCGTGGGAGCCCTTGCTCTTGGGCCATCTTGAGTCGTGTTGGGCGCATCTTTGACCGTCTTGGGCTTCTCTTTGGCCGTCCCGGGGCCCTCCTGTAGGCCTCCTGGATGTATTGGGGTGGTCTCTGGGGCCTCTCGGGCCTTGTTGGACGCTGTTAAGAACCCAAGTGCGAATCTGTTCAAAAGGTTCATTACCCTCGGGAATGGAACCATGTTGGCCTCCTGGGGCCCTCTCGGGGCGCAACGTGGAGCATTCTCAGGACATCTTCGGGGCCTCTTGATCCATCTTGAAACAATGATTCGGGCGTCATCTGCCCTGTCAGGCCGCCCTGGTCGAATGTTGGTGGCCCGTGGAACAATTTTGAGCGGCGGGGGGGAAGCCTGGGAGGCCCCTGAAGGGGTCAAGCATGCCGTGGGCCCCAAAAAAGAAGAAGAGAATCCGGGAGGGTGTCCCCGCCCGGGCCACGGCCCCACTACCAGCAGCAGCAGCAGCAGCACCACCACCACCACCACCAGCACCACCAACAGCAGTACCAGCAGCACCACCAACAGCAGCACCAGCACCAGCACCAACACCACTCTCGCGAGACAGCTTGCATGCCCGCTCTTGGGGTCCTTTCTGAACCCTCCTGGGGCCCTCCTGGAGTGTTCAGGATCCTCGAAGACGGCTTGGGAGGGCCCCAAGAAGGCCGCAAGGGCACCAAAGGGGCCCCACCACGTGATCGCTCTTGGGGTGCTCTTGGAACCTCTTGTGGCCTTCTTGGAGCCCCCTGGGGCCCTCTTGGAGCCCCCTGAGGCCCTCTTAGGCCGCTGTAGGGCCGCGTAAATGATTGTTTGAGCCGTCTTTGGCCGTGCGAGGACTCTGGGGCTCTCTTGGGGGACTCTTGAAGTGGGTTGGATTGCTCGTGGGGGCCGCTTGGGCAATGTTGGTGCGATCCTGGAGGCCTCTTAATCTTTCTTGGAGCGTCCGAAAGCTATAATGGCGAGAACGCAAACATCCTCCAAAACTATTAACAGTCCATGAATTTGGCTCTTTGGGGGGCCTCGTGGAGGCCTCGTGTGTGCCTCATGGAGGCCTCGCGGAGTTTCTTGGAAGCCTCTTCGGGCCTCTTGGCGGGTTCTTGGGGGCCTTTCGGGGCTCCTGGGGACCTCTCTGGGCCAAGGGATCTAAATGTCCGTTCGGGGCCCCCATCTGGATCCTCTCTGGAATCGTCTGAGAGGCCTATGGGGCCATCTTGAAAGTCTCTTAGGCCGTCTCGGAGCCCTCTCGGGGCCGTCTTGGAGCTCTCTCGGGGCGCCTTGGGGCTCTCTCGGGAGCCTCATGGGCAGTAATGGGGCGATATTGGTGGCCTCTTGCAGGAAAACCAAATCCTTCAAAAACCCTTGATCAGTGAAGGATGTTTGCCTCTTGGGAGGCCTCGTGGAGGCTCTGGGAGGCCTCGTGGAGGCCTCTTGGGGCGTCTTGGAAGTCTCTCGGATTATGCGGCGCCAATTCTGGCCAATCCGGTGCCGTCATGGGCCGTTTTGGCGGTTTCGAAAGGCGTTTTCAAGGAATACGGGGCCGTCTTCGGGCGATCTCGGAGGTCCTCCGGCGCGCCAGCAGGGCCCCAGCATCCCTGTCCACACATTTGTGGTCGGGGGGCCGGCCCGGGCACCCCCGGCGCGGTTACCCGTTATATGTACGTGCTGGCCCAGGCTCATGCCAGAATGCGTGCAGGAAGTGTGTGGTGTGTGCGTAACGTCTGTATTCTGTGTGTGTGTGTGCGTGTGTGTTGTGGGTCGTGTGCGCGTGTTGTGTGTTGTGTGCGTGTGTGTTCTATGTGTGAGATATGTACGGTGTCTGTGATGTGTCTGTGTGTGCGTGTGCGTGTGTTTGCTTCCGCTTGAGTGCATGGTCTGTGTGTTGTTGGGGTTGTGTGGGTGCGTTCTGTGTTGTGTGTGTGGAGTATTTTGCGTGGTGAGTTCTGTGTGTATTATGTGTGCTGTACGTCGGGGCTCGATGTTGGGAGGATGGCTCAGGCGAGAGTGTTTTTTTTCTGCACATCACGCTGACAAGGGGCCCGATGCTTGGAGGACGTCTCAAGCGAAAACGCTACATTCGAAAAAGCGGGCTCATAACCATTTGGTTCCATTCTGTGTTGCGAAGGTCTTGTGATACAGTGTTGATGACGATGATGAACATTTGTGTATATATAGATATATATGTCTTTACATTCACTAAACTGCGTGGCCAAGGAGGCTACATACTGACCCACAGTCTGAGACTACCCGAGAGCCTGAAGGACCTCCAGAGCCTCTCTTTTTTCTCGGGACCGTGCGCGGCCAGCACACGCTTAGATCTGAAAAAACACAAGCTCGGAGCGCGCCTGCCAGAGCCACGATCGCTGCAGGCGCGACCGAAACAGTCACTTCACGTAACAGTTGCCAAGTAAGTGAAAGCTGGGTTCAGTGGAACACAGCAGGAGGGAGGTGGAGGGGACGCAGGAGGAGCAGAAAAAACTTGAGCACATGGGGCGATGGATCGGAGGGACCTGGCCACGACTCATGCCACAAAGAGACATCAGTGATTGCTGCAATCTTTACATTCACTAAACTGCGTGGCGAAGGAGGCTACATACTGACCCACAGTCTGAGACTACCCAAGAGCCTGAAGGACCTCCA